CTCATTGTAGCAGACTATAGTTCTACCAGGCTCCTCATGCACTGATGGTTGATTTGAGCCGTCTCCTAATTTATATTACATTACATGAATTTGTCTTTACTATGCATAAATAATGGAAAAAAAACTTGTCATTAACCAGACAGCCATTAAAATCCATCAAAGCTGTCAATTACATGAAAAACCAAAATATGTGCAGTGACAGATGAAATCTGATTGCAGTTAAATGCGGAAGGATGATGAGCGCTGCTTGTGGTACACATATTGCAAGATTCTTTTCTTCCTCCACAGCCGCACGATTCTGAACTTTTAAAATATCAAATCCAATTGACAAGAGCGGCTGCATTTTAAATGAAGATGGTAAAAGTTAAAAAAAATAAAAAAAATCACAGAATAGTTTGCATCCCCCTCCCCCTTCCCCACTTACTTTGGTGTCTATGGTTTTTAAGCAAAAGCTAAGATGGCTGCCCCTTCCGTGATCTTTTTCTGTCTTTGCATGAACTCTCATTAAAATAAACAGAAATGAGCAGAGCTCTAAGAAGAGCATTAGAAACTGAGCCAGCTCCCATTGAAAGTCAATAGGAAGATGGGAGGTAAGTCAGCCCCTTCGTTATCACTCGTTCTATACCAACCAGACAAAGATGTAATAACAATATAGGATGGCTATTTTTTAAACATAATGGGACAATTAACTTACATGCGACTTAAGCACATGCTTAATTTAAGTACTTGTTTAAATGCTGTCTTGAATAGGAATGTTTTTATTAATCAGAGCTTTGTAGATTTGGAAGACACTATTGACGTTATTGCAAATTTACTCAACAAACCTACATCGTAACCTCGCTTGAGTCACTCCTAAAGTGTAAGCAGCAGAGTATTTTTAACAACAACAAAAGAAACCCAACAGAGACATGTAGACTAGACATATGCCTGCCTAAACAAAGTAAGTGCATAACTGTATATTCATAACCTGTGATTTTCCTTGCTCGTCCACCTTGATGGTGTGTATTATATCTTCAATGGTTTGTCATCAGGTCCCTAATATTGCAATCGTACGTACACAAATAGAATGGGCACTGGTGTGCAGCTGCATTGGAGTCAACAGAGCTCCATGCAAACACAGGGATATACTCATGTAGATCCATTTGTACGTTTTGAGTCTGATCCAAAGCCCACTGAAGACAATGGGAGTTAGGAAAGTACCCCTATTCAGGACAGTACTTCAGCAAGTCCTTAACTTTGGGATAAAAACGAGGAGTCCAGTGGCACCTTAAAGTCTAACTGCCACCAGACTCCTCCTTGTTTTTGTGGATACAGACTAACATGGCTACCTCTCTGAACTTTGGGATGTAATTATTTGCCTAAAATTAAGCACATCCTTAAGTGTTTTCCTGAACTTAAGGGGCCTTAGGCTGTATATCTTTGAAGAAGTCTGTCTTCTGTGCATTTTCTGGGCATCTGTAAGTGCACAGTAAAATAACACATCAACATAATTCAAAATGTCAAATTTTATAGCGAAACAAATTGAGCATTTAATGCAATATTCATTATATTCCTCCTATTTTTGAGATAAGGTCTGTATTTTTACACTAACTCTAGACATTTCAGGGTTTTCATTATGAGAAACAGTTGAGAAATAAAAATACTTTAAAAGGGTAATATATAATTTATTATCCCAGGTCAAATGAATGACAATATTCTAGTGTATAAGGAATGTACAATTCATGTGAAAAACATTAAGCTGAATGGTACAAAGCCAATGTGAGTTGAATTTACTGTATATGGTTGGATGTATAGCCTAATTAAGTTAGTAATGTGACTTATTGAAGATGATGGGTGTCAGATAAAAATAAATTTCTATGTTTATTTTAATTTCTAGTGTATACTACAAAGAGGGTATTAAATACATTATGTATTTCAAATGTTAAATGATCACTGTATTTTCCATTTTTGTAATTATATATTCATGGATAGGGCATTTGTATTCTATAACCATAATACCATGACTGATAAATTAAGTAATGGATACTCTGAAAAGGTTCCATCATCCTATTCTGCCAGCGGGAGGAAAGGAATCTGTATGTGATGGAGCACCAGTGAAAGTTGATTAATTTTTCTCCATGTACACAAATAAATCCAAACTCTTTTGAAACAGCTGTTTTATTTAAAAAGTTCTGGCCAGTTAGCAGAGGAACACAAGTGAGGACTACTTGTGAGAGTATGTGAATGTGTAGGGAGGATAGAGAAATTCACCTTCTGTAGACAGAAATATAGCGGTTCATGAAATTTCTTGTAATGCATAAACCATTAATGCAATACAAAATACTGGGGAGTTGCTAAAATCCATGTATACCTCCATCAATGATCTGCTGCTAGAACCTAAACCTTTGAGGCAAAATTATAATTGATTGATTTGCACCTTTTTCCAATGTCAAAAAGCTATCCTTTTGCAGGTCTAACTTCAAATACAAATTGCAGCAATTCATCCATATTTCATGTTTCGCAATCCCCCTCAACTTCCTTAGATATATGTGTGAGAACCTATTCACTGCATTATCATCAGGTTGCCTTGACACACATGTCCTCTATCCCATACTACACTTGGAAATTAAACATTTTGCCTAGTTTAGGACACTAGTTCAGCTTGTAATTTCAAGTTTATCCATAGTAGCTGATTTGTATACTGTAATATTTTAACCTGAAACATACTAAAAGCCAACTCTGTGAAGAGGAGAAAAGGGTGATTTTTGGGTGGGAGTGTGTGGTGAGAAACTAAGTGAGGTTAGGGATTGTTGTGTGGCTATATGGTGGGAGGAGGAGTGGATGGGGTTACGATCAGTAGGAAATGGGGAAAAACAATTGCAGGAAAGGTTAAAGTTTGGGGTGAATGGACAAAAGTTGCAAGGAATGAACCAAACGTAAAAAAATTAAACATATTTAGTATAGTTAAAAATGGAAAATAAGAGGTCAGGGTTGGTTGCAATCACAATACTGGTTGATGGATAAAACGTTAAAAAATGTTGCATTCTTTTTAGATAAGCTCCCTAGGGTATAGGACATGCATTCACTCTATGCTGGTAAAGTGCCTACTTTTGGGTGCTGTATGAACAACAGCAAAGATAGAACTTAAGATTTTCAAAGAAGTGTACCACTTGACTCAGCATTAACAGAATGTCACACAATTCCTTTCATGATGCCAGTGATTAACCTAATCTTAAAACCATTCACTGAACCTGGGTACATACAGAGATCAAGGGCTGTATTCTGGCTTTTAAATATTACATATATAAATGCTCCCACAGCCTCCCATGGATCTTCTATGCAGCCAAAGTATATTGGCCACACAGTGTGGTTGAAGAGTCTTCACAATATGAAAAGGAGTACTTGTGGCACCTTAGAGACTAACCAATTTATTTGAGCATGAGCTTTCGTGAGCTACAGCTCACTTCATCGGATGCATACCGTGGAAACTGCAGCAGACTTTATTTATACACAGAGATCATGAAACAATACCTCCTCCCACCCCACTGTCCTGCTGGTAATAGCTTATCTAAAGTGATCATCAAGTTGGGCCATTTCCAGCACAAATCCAGGTTTTCTCACCCTCCACCCCCCCCCCCCACACACAAACGTGTGGGGGGGTGGAAGGTGAGAAAACCTGGATTTGTGCTGGAAATGGCCCAACTTGATGATCACTTTAAATAAGCTATTACCAGCAGGACAGTGGGGTGGGAGGTGGTATTGTTTCATGATCTCTGTGTGTATATAAAGTCTGCTGCAGTTTCCACGGTATGCATCTGATGAAGTGAGCTGTAGCTCACGAAAGCTCATGCTCAAATAAATTGGTTAGTCTCTAAGGTGCCACAAGTACTCCTTTTCTTTTTGCGAATACAGACTAACACGGCTGTTACTCTGAAACCTCTTCACAATATGTGACTCTTGTCTAGTCTATATAGAACTATACAACAAACTAGCTATTTGAATAGAGATTTCAAATATGGCCATGAAAAGTCCCTCATTTCCTCTGTACAGTATACAAAGCACAGTAAAGAATAGTATGTCTTATGTACAATACATATTGCCCACAATATTCTGCCACAAAGAGGCAGCCTCTACTATTGCATAATGCACAGCAGCTGTTTGGATTGAACTGTAAATAGAAATGATTTAAACACATTTATTTGTGCTGATTATCAGAGTTGTCACTTCTGATTCCCAAAGACACAGGACTATTATACCTTTTGCTACTTTCTGCAAAGACTACTATTGATGATTGGAAATAAAAACACTGTCTGCATTTTTTTCAGGCCACAATTTGAACCTCATCACTAACTTGAAAAAATCTTTTAAAAGAAGATACCAATAATATTATTCACAACACAGACATCATAGTTCATTGTCTGGTCTCTGCACACAATTTTAATTTCCTGATGCATTATGAAGCAGTAGAAATCAAAGACTAATCTTTTCAGAACAGCTGTATGTTTTAAGCTTGTAGGTGACTATGTCAGCACTTTGTGATTCTGAACTAATGATTAAATAGATAACATGAGCACACAGAATTCTCTCCTCACCCTGTCCACACTGAATGAATTGTATATCTCAAACCCAAGAGCCAGCTATTTTATTTTATCACTAAACTACATAGAATCCCAGATTTGACCAATTTTCAGTTTATTCTTTATTACTTTGCTAACTTCCAGTATTACAACAATGCACTTTTGTTACAAAACAAAACAAAGTAAAAGCAATACCAATATTTTCACTTTGTACTGACCCAAAGATACATTGCATGGATTATCATGATTTTATCTAAGAGGATTATAGGGTAAATTAATAAAAATCCACTCCAGTGAAATGAAATTGAGTTTTCAGAGAAGGCAGAAACTGCTTACTACACTAAATTTCTTACACAAGTAGAAGAAAGGCAAATGTGGAAAGTTACCTACAGTAGGGTTAAAAAAACAATGTTCATCTTTATAGTGTGTAATCAAACTACTTACTGTTCAGAATACAGATTCTGTGATCAACTCTTTTCTTTGTTCAGGAGTCCAGGTTTCTGTAAGAAAAACATTAATTTGATTTCTCATATGCATAAAACAAATCAGGTCGTTTACTTCATGCCATAGGTTTGCCTTTTTTTAAGTTAACTTGTGTATCCTCTAAGGGTATGTCTACACCACAAATGCAGGTGTCATTGCAACCCAGGTAGACATACTCACACTAGTTTAAATTTAGCTAGAGCGGGTACTAATTTCGTTAGCTTTAACAATAGCAGTGAAGACGACCCAGTGTAGGTCATCACCCCAAGAACATACACAGAATCCCGAATGGGCTTGTAGTGAGGTGACTAGCCCACATCACCACATCTTTACTATTCCTGTTACCCAGACCAGCTCAATCAAAGCTGCCATGGGTATTCCTACCCATGCTACAATCACAGCTTCATTTACAGTGTAGACATATCTTAAGATTTACAGCCCAGGTTTACCATGGGAGGGGGCACAGTGGGAGGAAAATCTTCAAGGTTCCCTTTCCAAAGATTCCTTTGAACCCAGTAGTTTCAACTCTTGTATCCTGCAGTAGAAGCAGAGAGTTCTCTCTCTCCCTCCCCGCCGGAACCCATGGATTGTCCAATACCTTCTGAAATCTGGGCCTCTGAGGCACTCCTGAGGTTCTCCTCAACTCTTATGCTGACACGCCTTCATCTAGGGGCAATGCCTCCTGGAATCCTCCACTTAAATTTCACATTCTGGTTGTATTAACTCTTACACAGGGTTCCCATGAAAGTGAAGAGGAAGGGAAGAAATAATGTATGTCCCCAGTTACTGCCACAACCTTCTCCCTCCCCTGCCAGAGGAAGAGTGGGGAAAATGCTGCAGGGGTGCCTCATGCTTCAGACCATCTTGTCATGCAGTCAATTATATGATAAGCAGTGATCACAACATACCAGCTACCTCACCATTTTCAAGTGTTTTACAGGCATCACAGCAGAGATGAGTTTTAGGACTGGATTTGGAGGAGCGTAACATAGTGACTTCACAGTTTGTTACAAGGAGCAATTCCCATGCATAAAGGCAGCATGGTGAAAAAGGGAAGGTGTCTGAGGGAAAATTGGACTGCTGGACAAAGACAGGCATTATTGGCAGAACTCGATGGTTGCTAGGATATAAGAGATTAAATGGAGGGCAGGGTCAATCTTTGAAGGAACTTAAAAGTGAAGATGAGCAATTTGTTTGATGCAGTGGAGACCAGAAAGCCAGGTGGAGGGTTACAAAGAGAGGTAAATGCAGTTGTACTTTTACCTTAACCTTTCTACAGAAGAATGGCACTGGCAGTACCTAGGGCTGGGGTCTTCGAAAAACCTTTAAACCATGGCATATCAATCCTCATCATATTTTAAAAAAAGATAATTTGTGATTCTCTCCACCATCCCATTCCAAATTAGTTAGCCCTGCAACTATGTTTTATGACACAATTAGCAAAGGACTCAGCATGTAAATAATTCTAAATCTGCTCCCCCCCTTTTTTTTTTAAAGCATTAATTTTAGCTCCTGGGCTGTTCTTCCAGTCACTGTGGTGCCCCAAAATCCATCCTTTCACATGTCACAGCTAGAGACACCTGTTGGACAATGGAGCTGGATGGGTTACATATTCTATTACTCTGAAAAAACATTATTTTGCAGCCTTTGGGATATAACATTACTTTTTAAATCTTTTTCAAAACCATATGTTCTAGCTCCTCTGTCTAGCAGGGTGGCTGGTATGACAAAATGATGAAGAGTTCTGGAGCAATGAAGTAACAGAAGATTGACTGTCAGGATTACAGGAGACCATTATTTCAAAAAGAAGAGGTTAGGGTTAGAATAATCTAGCAATACATAGCTGTGGGATGAACTAATTTCCTCCCCAGATTTTTCAGTTCAGCTGTGTGTAATCTCATGTATGTCTACGGAACAATGACTTTGGTCATTCTTAGATACAGTATACATTCTGTTGATTCTGCCATTGTTGGGCCTAATCCAAATTCCTGGATGCCAGCTTCTTATTTCTACAGTGGGCTGAATCAAACCTCTAGATCAAACTGTGGTTCAAACCCTCTGAAAATTTGGGAATTTGAAATTCAGACCCAAATCTGAACCTTCCCAAATTGTAGCATATTCACATTTGGCTCATTACAAAGATATGCTTCAGCTAGAAATTTGGATCCAAACCTGCTCCTGGGATTCAGATCCATCTGTATATTTAGTATTAAAACAGATACAACTACCGAGACTCAGACAAATTAACACACACAGTCACACCTGAGCTGTTGTATACCATCTCAGTCTTACTCTGTTTATATAAACTGTCTGTGTCAAGCTGTGTCATATTATCACTATGTGTCTCAGATGAAAACTATTTCTTTTCACCATAAAGACAGAGAATGACAGAGAAAGTTATAAAAATATAGCTCCCTACTTGAGTATTAATCGTAAAGGCCTGAATAAAAATATAGTCCCTGCTCCAGAGAAGACAAAAAAGTGAAATAAAATTATGCAACATCATGATCATGTCAGGTGGTTTATTAAGTGAAAAATAAAGAGAGCCTGTCTACCTTTCTTGGTGTTAACAGAGGGAGTTTCCCTCAAGGTAATAATGGTACATAGAGTAGGTTACAGTTGGTGACATATTAGCAGCCTTGAATAAATAATTTAAAAAAAATCATAGCACCAATGACCAGACAGCTTTGCCTAGACTAAATACTGAAATTCTTCTCAAAGCTACTATCAGAGTTCAGAAGTACAATAGATACACAAAAGAAATAAAAAATACGTACTGAAAAGGGAAGATCAAAAATGTCTCTACAATGGGAATTCATCTGTGCTTCTATTGCTTACTATTAAACAGAATATTTTTGATGAGATGTGCTGGAAGATTAATTTACTCAGCTTTAGTTATGGACTCCTGTGGGTCTTCAGTGCGAAAGATCCCCTGTAGTGACAGTTACATTTCCATAGCTACAGATGTAGCATCTGTCACATTACTAGTCTCTTGCACGATTTGGTTTCATTTCAATGGTATTTGAAAGGAAACAGTTTTCTAATGAAAGCCATTAGAAATACCAACAGAATAAAATACATTTAGATATGCTTGGCTGCATTTTACAATATCTGTTTGAAGCATAATCTATATTTTACATATGGTGTCTGCAAAAGATACTTCAGGGCACTAAATAGTCACGTAAATAACCTGCAATGTCTATTTCATTTACTCATGATTACTCACCCAACAAAACAAAGCCATTTTGGGTCTCATTCTAACTCCTCAACCCCCAGTTACACAGAATAGTACCCTACTGTGAGAACAGTTCCATTAAGTAAGGGGATCAAAATAAAACTTTTTAGGGACCCCTAAAATAAACCTAGTCCAATATGCCAAGTATGTTGATATAGGGTGAAATCTTAATACCTTGGCAAGGGGAGTTCAATGGAGCCAGAACGTCACCTATAATTTTTAAAATAAATATGGTTTGGTTTTGTTTTAAATCATTTAAATAGAATAGAAGTAGATTGGAACTTGTTACTGGAGACATGGAACACCTCTACTTTATAAAAACATTAGCAAACTAGACCCCCTCTATTTTATGCTTCATTCTTCTCTAAGAGACCTGTTTTAAAAAGAGTAGCTGTGTAGTAATTAAACATTTTTCAAGACTTGGACCATTTGTGACAGTTTTACTTTATTACTGTTTTGCACGTACAACACCCCCAAGGTGAACGGGGATGTCTATTTTATATGGAGATAATTCCTATCACCTTAAATTTGTGGATCAATATGTCCAGGTTCTGCTTAGTTTATTGTGTATTTACATAGCTATTCTTTGGAACACTGGAAATATTTTCCAAACTGGACTTTTATTTTGGGGTAATAAAGTAATGACAGCATATGACAGATTTAACTACAATTTTAGATTTGAACCACATGAAACTTTTCTTATAAAAAACAGAAGCCACATGAAATTGTGCATTACCCATTGGAACAACTTACTAAATATCGTGGTAGATTCTCCAATACTGAGAATTTTTAAATCAAGATTGAATGTTTTTCTAAAAGATCTACTCTAGGAATTATTTTAGAGAAGTTCTATGGGCCATGTTATACAGGAGGTCAGACTAGATGGTCACAGTGCTCCCTTCTGGCCTTGGAATCCATGAATCTATAAACTTGCTATGTTTCTGGTTTTGCAGTAAATTTGAAACTCAGCTCAGGTTCACTGAGATGCCTTTGAATTTTTCATTGACCTTTGGCAGATTTATGGTTTTATGTAGATACCAGGTGATGTCAAATTAGTTTCATTTTGAATGTTGGGATTGTAAAACCATGCAAATTGAAACCAAAGTGTGAAATAAAACTGATGGGCTTTATGAAGCTGGATTTAAAACCTCAACTGCAAATAGTAAATTGAGTTTAATGTTTGCAAAGCAGATGGGAATTTAAAATATTGTTCTCAGCCTTAGAACCCTGGCTACCATCACTGAGCGATAAAACCAGATTATTTGAAGATTGGAGTTATACTGTATGCTGATTTACATGGATGCTCTTAAAACATAAAAATGGTACCTAAGAAAGACAAGCTAATATTCTGATATGTAATATTATGTAGAAAGCCGGTTTATAGCTTAAATCAAAATACATAACCTTAAATTCCAGATCTACAACAAATTAGATTTATTTTGAATAGAGGGAGTTGTGTAAATTTGTTAAGTGCCTCACATATTCATATGAAAGTTACAATGTAGTGCAATTTCAAACTCTTTCCCAATATTCATATTCAAATATTTAATAATCTTAATTTGCTCAATATGTCTGTAACATTAACTGTAAGTAACACAGATTTTGTTGAAGCCTCAAATAATTCACAGCACAGACCTAAGGATTAGTTTAACATGGGATTTAAAGCACACACTGTGAATCCATATACAACCACCACTTAAAACACTATCCATTCAGGCCCAGATGGATTGCTATAGCAACAAAATCCCAAATACCAGGTTTGTAAGTAACAAAATGTAAATT